TTTCTCTATAATTAATTGGGAAAATCAAATAATAATAAAATAATAAGAATGCACAAACATTAAAACCTAGAGATGAGTTTTCGTATATAATCAAAATATTGTTATCTTTTCGTCAATCTGATTACTTAAACCGATGTAGACCCATCCTCTAATTAACTAGCCAAATTTTTTAAAAGGAACAAATTATTCGACTATGTGGATAAATTGCTAGTTAAAGCGTTAGGTTTGCGATATAATGCGCTAACATTGATTTACACGTGAATGAGATCCTAATTAGGTCTGACGAATCATCAGCATGAAACCTCACTCTTCGTTTTACTTTAATTAATTCTCACGGGAGACATCTTTAATACACTTTATTTTCTTTAATAACTTTAATTATATTTATTGCTTGCATCGATACGTTACTTCTTTTGCTCGCAAAATAAACAAAATAGGGCCCCAAAAAGGTAAATAAATACATAAGTATCGAAGAAACCGAGTCATCATGACAGATCAGGCTTTTACAGCAAATGCAGAGTGAGTGTTATTTTATTGTTACATTTTTTTCTTGATTTACACGATTTTTATATACAGAGCATATGAAAAGATACAATAAACGAAAAAAAAAACGTATTTATCTATATAACTTGTTTCCACTGAATTGATTATTTTTTAATTCAAACAATCAACTAACTTTAACGTGAGTTTGTTATAATATCTAGTGTTTTATTTGATATGTGTATCTCGATTGTGAATTAATAATTTTAGAAACTAAACTAAAATTGATATTAATTTATATAGAATATTTTATTGTGTTTAGTTAAATATTAGGTTTGTAATGAAATTTTTTTTTCTTGAAATGAAATCTTAAATTCACCATATTGTATCAAGTTTTAAACAATAATATAATAAATACCCAAATTCCTTAATTTAACTACTTTTTAACGGTCAGTCATTGTATTGCATGTATACAGAGTTAGTCTACTAAAGAAAAAAAAAACCGTCTACTCAAATAATAATAATTTAGTCTTATGTTCAAGTTAATATGGGGATAATATAATTAAGGTTGTGAGTTCGTCGGCATAAATGGGTTAACATAATAATGTCACATGATTTTTTCCTGCTGTTGATTTAAATATGTGTTTTTTTATTTTCATATAAACGGATAAAATAATGAAGGAGGGCACATGTCCATTCATTTTTATGCCGATGAAACAACCCCATTTTGTTATTATACCAAACATTTAATATTCGCCTCTCAAACCGATAAGTGAGAAGATGCGTACACACAACAAGTATACGGTACACATACACATGTACGTGTACATGCAACGTGGGTACGTGTACGAAAAGACTATAGAACCCTTGAGAGTTGAGATGCAAATTTTCGTTGAAAAATCTTGGACAAGGATTGAGAAAAGTATATGAGATCCGAGATCTGATCTGAATGGTTTCGTAAATACAGGGTATTCAGAGTTTTTGAATCTTGATCCAAATCAAGATCCAACTATTTTGACTAAAAAATACGATATTTGGATGCGTTTACATATCACTACAAAAAATGAGTATATCTGTATATGTAAGTTTTTTTGTAACATCTGATTTATTATTATGATATATATATATATATATATAGTTAAATTTATATAAAAAAATCTAAAAATAATAGTATGTCAACTATTTATTAAAAGCTATTCTTATATTAAAAGGTGGTATAATAGAAATATATCTCTAACAAATATGTTCTAAAAAATTTAGGCAAATCGATTTTTAATTTAGATAGTTATTTGACGGTCCCGAATCCAAGCACGAAGTATTCGATTATAATTTTTTTTTAAAACGAATAGAGTTTTAATGACAATAGACAAGTTGACATATTGAGAGGAATGGCAAGTAACAGTGTGCTATATTACAGAAAGGCTACGAGAAGTCCCCACTTCTTCTTCTTCCCCAAACAAATAAACCTTCCTTCGGTTTGGACCACCATAATTTTTATTTTTATTTCAACAAATTGTACCTTTTTTAGATAAATACAACATTTATTTTTTGTTTTTATATACTGAAGTTAGTTGTCATTTCGCTTGATATATAAAATTCTACAGTCACTAAAGAAAAATATCAAGCTGTAATATCTTATGTATGTATAAAAATATTCACCAAAAATAAAAAGATTTACCACAAATCAATAAAATACAATACGAATTAGAGAATCGCGATCATCACCAAAATAGACCTTAATTCTCTTTTTTGCTTTCATCCTATGTCTTGGTTGTTTCAACAACTTTAACTAAGCCAAGTTCTGGAATTGTCCTCCCAATTTTAACAACAATTCAACCGCACTGGTTATGGATTTGTCCCTAACCATCTATTTGTCCCTTAACCGATAAAAGAGCATGATTATCCAAAGGCTTTTTATAATAGTATTTCTTAAGAATATTTAAGTAATATTTTTTTTGTTTCACTTCTTAGCATTTTTTTTTGTTTCTTAGCTAAGAAACACTTCTTAGTTTAAAGATACTTTTGGAAATAAATATAATCAATTAAATGCTAATATAATTTTAAATTTTTTTTAAGAGACTACCTATAATCTCTGTTCTAAAAATCGGCCGCCTAGCCGCCTAGGCGCTAATCGGAGGAGCACCGCGGCGATTTTGTCCAAATCGGTGAGAAAATTGGAGATCCAATTTTTTGCCCGCTTGGACAGCCTAGCCCGCCTAGACGGCGCCTAGCCCAATTTTTTTTTTTTTTTTACTTTTTTTTTCTTCTAAAATTCAAAACGTCCTACTTATGTTCGTAATTTGTATAAAAATCATAAATTTGAAATTAAAATCTTGTTTTCATGTGTTTAATACAATTTTAAAAACAATATTATATAAATTACTTAATTATAATGGATTAATATGTTTTTAAAATATTAAATAGCCCTAAAACTAATCCCCGATTAATCTTCGTATAATCTCCGATTTTCTTGCTAGGCGCTAGGCGTACCCTCACCGCCCGACTAGCGCCTAGCGATTTTTTTAACACGGCCTATAATCATGTTCTGAGAAGTGTTCAACTAAAAAGTGGGTGGGCTAATAAAGTAAAGTGAAAGGACAAAAAAAAGAAAAGCAAGACACGAAGAAGTGTGTATAAACAAAACCCACTTGCGTAACCCTACCTCGAACCATGTAGTAGTATTCATCATCTCACCGGTCACCTCTCTTTTTCTTTTTTTTTGGTTTGCTGTTTTTATTTTTATATTATAGTCTCTTTTTAACTGTATCTTGCTTTTTCCCATCTGTTTAATTTATAATAAAGTTTGATTCAAGTTCGTTAGATTAAGCCTAAATTTTAATAGTATAAGCTCATGTACTTTGTAATTTAGAGGTATGCTTACAAGTCTCTGTACTTCTTGTTTTTTCAAGAACCATTTCATAGATTTTTTTTATAAAAGTTCCAATTGAAACTGATGTTAAAAAGTAATTGATATATTATTATGCATATTTGGTTTGCTTCCTACTTTTAGTATAAACTGAAACTAATATAAATAACTTTCTATTTGTACTATTTTTTACCCAAAAGAAAAGAAAAGAAAAGAAAAGAAAAAAGCGTACGAGTACCGACGTTGAAAACACACAAGTTTCATAGACTTTTTTTTTTTTTTTTTTTGATAAAATGTGAAATATTTATACCATTTTCGTAGACTTAAAAAGATGACCAACCTTCTTTGCTATCGATTCTAGAGGTAATTAAGGTTTTTATGACACTGGATTTTACATTTTTTAACGTCACCCAGTACTGGTGATTTTCCTTTTACATAGACGTGTGAGTATTAAAAACTAAAATGGTTCAGAGAAATGGTTTACGCGGTGGTTAATTACATCGTTCATTTTAATCGATAAGAATCTGTTTCGGACAGAAGAAAAAAAACAATGAGAGGCTGTCACTTTCCATGTGCAATCGACAGACGTGAAAGCACGACCGTTCGATTATCCCTCGTAATTTACAAGTTCCTTCTGGAATGCTAATCCAACTGCAGATACAACCACATATATATTTACCAAATCTCTATGACAACAACTTATTAATTTTTTTCTTTTGTCTTTCTTACAAAACGTACATAATATTTTAAAAACAATAAAATAAAGGAGCATCTTCCTTTCATCTTTCAATTATCTTTCGAAACTTATAATATTACATGACAAAAATGTTAGGCCACTGCATTTACATTTTACAAGTCCCACTGAACAAATTTTCTCACCAAGTACTTCTATTTATGAACTTTTAATATTTTTGTCGGAAATACCTATTCATAATTTAATCCCCGAATGTTACAAATATATTTCTTTTTTCGTTGACGGTATATACACAAATAAATTGCTTTGGTAGAAATTTTATGACTTTGATCGGTGACATAAAGTGATATAGTTATTTTAGTGGTACGAAATATTGATAGAAGCTAGTAATAATTAGGTTAGAACTTAGAAGTAATTAAAGTAATGGTACGAAAGTTTTATGAATTCGATTGGTGACAGAAAGTGATATAATTATTTTAATGGTACGAAATATCGATAGAAGATAATAATAAGTCAGTTAGAAATAATTAAATAATCGTACGATAGAACAAATGATACTAAACTCCTCGTACCACAAATTTTTTTACCGTCTCACAGTACCAGTACAACAACGTTACCGGTCAAAGCTATAAGATTAGCATAACTGCATAATTACAACATGCTTAAGATCTAAAGAATATACTTTTATAATAGAAATAATTAATATTATTGATAGTATTATGTTAATCTTGACGAGATGGCAAAAATAATTGTAGACCATGTATTTGAAATTTCTCTCCGGGTTATCCGAAAAAAGGAAAAAGTATTCACATGTCTCTCTCCTGAGTCCTGACATGCACGAACCAACTAATAACTTCTTATTAATATTTCATTTGATACTAAATCACGTAATTATTTTAATTAAAAAATAACCCATTCTGACCACAACCTTTCTCTATATAAACATTTTAGTCTCCTCCTCTCTCTCATCACCACAACGATTTTCTCTCTTTCTCTCTCACGATTCAAAAAGTTAAACAAAACCATTGTCTTCTCAATCTTCCTTCTCCAAAAATGGCAGAAGCAACAACAGTATCATCGCCATTGAAGCGTCAAAGAGATGAGCAAGAACAAGAAATCATCATAACACAAGAAGAAACAAAAAGACAAAAGCCTTCTTCATCTTCTTCCTCGTACAACCAAGTTCGAACTCTCCTAGATGATATAGAAGTAGTAGAAGATGAAGCCGACAATGACATAACTTCCCTAATCACCACTTTTCAGCAAGAAATCTCTAATAAAGAACAGAACGCTGCCGTTTTTGAAGAGAACCCTTCTCTATCTTCTTCTTGCTCCTCCTCTTCGTCGTCTTCATGCACTTTTAAAGAAGATGAGTACGAAGAAGATAAAGAGAAGGTGATGAAGCATCTTCTTGAAGCTTCTGACGACGAACTTGGGATCCCTAACACTGAAATTGGCGGGAGTAATTATGAGATGATTAAGAGTGAGACTAATCAGGATTACGTTAATGGGTTTAGTTTATTAGATGGGTTTGGTGTTGGGCTTTGGGAGCTTGAGGATGAAGCAGCTAATTATTACACGTTGCTGCAATCAGAACTGTTCATGTAGGGGAGGGTAAAATAGGAAAACGAAAAAAGGAGGATTAGTAAAAAGGGAAAGTAAAACTGTAAAAGACCAAATATGATGATGAAGAGTGAAAAGGAGGAGACTATTTTCTTTAATGGAAATTATTCTTTTTCATTATTGGGTTTTTCGTTTTTTTCCAATGTGAATTTGACAAGTGTCCAGTACACTTTTTATTTGTTTAGTTTACTAAAATGATTTATATTGGGTTTTTGGTTAATTTCTAGTGGGACTAATGATAATGATACTATTTCATTGTTTTTGTCTTTAAATTGTTTGTTACGTTATTTAAAAAAAGACATTTCAACCCTACTATACAATTCAAAGAACATATACCAAAATAAATACATAATTTTTAGTTCAAGTGGGTTTTACTGGTCCCATTCCGGACCCTTGTGTTTCAACTAGCTACGAGCCTTGTTCTAAAAATTGGCCGGCGGCCGCCTAGGCGTTGATCGGAGGAGCATCGTGGCGATTTTGTCCAAATCGGTGAGAAAAATCGGAGATCCGATTTTTTGTCCGCCTGGACCGCCTAGGCGGCCGCCTAGACGGCGCCTAGCCCAATTTTTTTTTTTTTTTTACTTTTTTTTTGCATCTAAAATTCAAAACGTCCTACTTATGTTAGTAATTTGTATAAAAATCATAAATTTGAAATTAAAATCTTGTTTGCATGTGTTTAATACAATTTTAAAAACAATATTATATAAATTTCTTAATTATAATGGATTAATATGTTTTTAAAATATTAAATAGCCCTAAAACTAATCCCCGATTAATCCCCGTGTAATCTCCGATTTTCTTGCTAGGCGCTAGGCGCACCTTCACCGCCCGACTAGCGCCTAGCGATTTTTTGAATACGGGCTACGAGCAAGTCTTAAATGAAATTTCTCCACAAAAAAAAAAAGAAATTTCTCCAAAATATTTAAAAATGTAATTCGGTATTGTTGACATATAACAAAGAAAAACTTCTAATTGCGTACCATGTGGTATGTTCAAACTTTACTAAATACGTGGTTTTAAGGCATCTAGTTTTCTTATAACTGGGATGATTTCAAACAAACCTAGAGTAATTATTTGATCTGTGAGAAATTTATAATTTTGTCATTTTTTTGGTCGTCAGAATTTTTTTCCACTTAAGACGTTAAGAGAAGTAGACAACTATGATTGAAATTTCAGTAAAAAGATTAAAAATCTCTGGTACAAATCTACAAGACAAGTTCTCAAATATTAGATCATCATAAATTTATAAGAAAATAATAATAGTAGTAAGAAAATATTAGTCTCGTTTGGAACTTGACTAATGATATATTTTTACAACACATAAAATTATGCAACACATAAAATTTTGGAAATTTGGGATGAAATTAAGGAAATTGGTTTATAGTACAAAAACACATACATGATACATGATACTAATTGATAAGAACGTAACTGGGTTTGTATTGTATTGTATTGTCCTTAATTATATCTAGATATAACTTTTTTTTTTTTTCAAATCTAGATATAACTAGTTATACACTTATACTTGATTTAACATGTATCCACATAAAAATCCAGATAGTTAGAAATGGTTGTCTGATACAAAATACTTAAAAACTATTATTAACTAATAAAGTATGCATTATAATTTATTTATTTTATAGACAAATTAAATGTATCTATAAAAAAGTACTTAAAAAATTATATAGTAACCAAAATTACTAGTACTATTCTTTCATGTTGGATCGAAATAGTGGATTTTTTTTTCTCTTTCAGATATTCGTATCCATACGGCCATACACGTCCCCATACCTATGAATCTGTACTCATCATTATTTTGTCAATATATAACAGAAATCTCAAATACTTCAAATTTATAGATATAAAATTGTATAATGAACGAAAAGTTTCATCAATTCTTTCTACCCCTCCCTATTGTCCATGATGCATCGACAAAGTAGTGTATCTAAATTTGTTAAATTAATTGATAGCTCTGTTTTATATACTTCTATATCTACATATTACGTACTTTAAATTTGTTGATAATTGTATTAAACGCCACATCTAATATTTGGCGTACGTCACTTGGTCGCGTGTTTTGGGCTTTTACCTTTTAGTATATTTGGCGTACGTACAGTACTTAGAAAAAGATTGCCAAACTATAAAGAGAAGCATTTATTGGAAATGAATTTACTTTAATATTGATAAAAGTATAAACAACTTAAACGTAGACTGAAGGATAGTTTTAATAAAACTTACCAAAAAAAAAGGATAGTTTTAATAAAATTGAAAATAGGACGAAATAACAAATAAATCATAAAATCAACAAATTTAAGCTCGAAAATGTTTTTTTTTTATAAGGTAGCTAGCTAGAAATGTTGGTTTTAGTAAAAAAAGTTTGGTCCATGTATAATGTATTGGTCTCTTACCTTAGTGGGAGAGAACATAGCCATGCCTACGTTAATGGAGGCTCTAGACGAGTTTCACAAAAGAGACAAAAAAAAAAAGGTTCAATGAATGAAGATGAGAAGTTGTAGTATCTTATCGTATTTTTTTTTTTAAATTCTGTTTCTAATTTACAAAATATTTTTTGAACTTGTAATGTTAACATTAACTACCAAATTACAGTCAGAAAAGTTTTAGTGGATCTTTACTTTGTTTTCCCTAATAGGCCAATGCTAATGTTTCTATATAAATCTAGTAATCGGCCTTCGGCACCATAGGCTTCAAACAAAAAAATAGATCAAAGAGAGTATGATGTGCCTCGTGGGTTTTAATGCTCATGGTTCATGATTCGCCATTATCCACGTATCACGATTGTCGGTCCACAGTCCACTTACGCGATTTTCCACTGACGCTATGTTCCACCAGTTCCTGACATCGATAATTCAATAGTTATCTCATTGAACAGATTAATTAATACGTGTGTTTGTCGAGTAGTGGACAAATTTTGAAATAGTATCTAGATTTCTATCTCGTTTTCGTTGGCTATGTATGGTTGCGTTGTAACAAAAGAAAATCAAGTGGGTATAAGCAATTTAGGACAATGCTGATCGTGACAATAATGATATGAGACAGAGAGATTATGCTCGCTTGATTATATTAGGGACCTATAATGTAAATATATTATACTTAGGCTAATATGTTAATTTTCCTAAGTATGTTTAGGGTTTCATGTGTAGGATGTATATATACCTTTTCTCAATGTCAATAGAACACAACTTTTCTCTTTATTCTCTTTTCCCTTTGGCATGGTATCAGAGCTAGGGTTTTAAGAAAAAGATCAAACAAAGGGAGAAAAAAGAAGAGATTATGGCCGACGGTGAGAACAGTGTTGGGAAAGAGCTCGGGCCGGCGAAGACTGCGGAAGGCGGCAGCGGCAGTGGGCTCACGGTGGCGGAGAAAGCTAGGGCTTCGCCACTGTATCTCCATCCTTCGGATGGACCGGGTAATGTGATCACTACTGTTCAATTGAAGGGAGAAAACTATGAAGATTGGGCTAAGCATGTGCGGAACGCCTTGCGAACGAAACGGAAATTGGGGTTTATTGATGGGACCTTGGAGAAACCTACCAAGGATGATGAGATTGAACAGTGGGAAGTGGTTAATTCTATGTTAATCGCTTGGATTATGAACACGATTGAGCCGACTCTCAGGACATCGATTTCTATGGTGGATGAAGCTCAAGCGTTGTGGGAAGATTTGAAGCTTCAATTCTCTGCGGGAAACGGGCCAAGAATCAGTGAGCTTCGGGCTGATATAGCAAACTGTAGGCAAAACGGAGATACGGTAATGGTGTACTATGGGAGACTTAAGAAGATGTGGGATGAATTGGCAATTTACAAGCCTATTCGATCATGTAGTTGTGGAGAACTGGCTGCTCAGTTGGAAGAAGACCGTAATGAAGAGAGAACCAATACCTTCTTGAATGGTTTAGATTCTGCGAAGTTTGGTACGGTGCGTTCTACTATCACAAGTATGGAACCACTACCCAAGCTCTCACAAGTCTATCAAAGGATCATTCGAGAAGAGAGACAACTCACGATTACTAGGAATCGTGATGCCACTCCGGAGGCTGTGGGGTTTGCGGTCCAGGCTGCACAACGGGGTCAAACTTCCAATTTTTATCGCGAGAAGGACGTGACATGTACTCATTGTGGTAAGTATGGGCATGCAAAGGCTGATTGCTTTCAGATAATTGGCCTTCCTGAATGGTGGGGAGAACGAGGTCGTGACTACAATGATCGCGGTAGAGGTGGACGTGGACGTGGAGGACGTGGTGGCCGGTTTGGACGTGGTCGCGGGTCCGGTGGTAGGGCTAACGCGGTCACGGGTGTTCAGGCAAATATTGTTGGGGGAATACAAGCTAATTCAACAAGAACACCGGCTGATTTGGATCGTCAATCTCTACCACAAATGAGTGATGATCAATGGAATGCTCTCAAGGGTCTCTTTGCTTCTCAAAAGTCAAATCCTAATGAGAAACTGAATGGTAAGAAAGAATGTGTTGATTTTATTATTGATACAGGAGCATCACACCACATGACTGGTAATTTAGACTATTTGTCTAATGTGATGAATACCAATCCATGTATGATCGGTCTACCGGATGGTGATCATGTGGTGTCCACCCAACATGGTGATATATGTCTCGGGGGTGATTTGTGGCTACAAGGAGTTTTGTACTCTAAGGATTTAACATGCTCCTTAATTTCGGTTGCAAAGTTGTTGAAAGTGGTTAAGGGTTCTATTACATTCACTGATGAGTTATGTGTTATACAGGACCGGGCTATGAAGACGCTGATTGGGGTTGGTGAAGAGTGTGGGGACGTGTACGTGCTTCGAGGGGTGATTGGTGCGAAGATACACAAGACTGTGAGCAGTTCAGGATCATGGGATTTATGGCATCGTCGTCTTGGTCATCCGTCTAGTCATGTTGTTCCCTATTTGTCGAGTTATTTAGATATTGGAAAGCAAGTTAGTTCCACAACAGTTTGTGATATTTGTTTACGGGCTAAACAAACCCGGGATTGTTTTCGTGAAAGTTCTAATAAAGCTGCTGGAATTTTTGATTTGATTCATTGTGATCTCTGGGGTCCGTATCGCATAGTATCTACTTCGGGTGCTGCGTATTTTCTGACAATAGTAGATGATTATTCGAGAGCGGTTTGGGTGCACCTGTTACGGGAAAAGAGTGAAGTCGGTGTAACTCTTAAGAATTTTTTCAAAATGGTGGAACGACAGTTTGAGAAGAAGGTGAAAGTAGTACGTAGTGATAATGGTGGGGAATTTATGGGTTTGCGATCGTACTTCCTAGAAGAGGGAATCCTGCATCAAACGTCGTGTGTCTATACTCCTCAACAAAATGGTAGAGTGGAGAGAAAGCATAGACATATATTGAATGTTGCTAGATCGTTGATGTTTCAAGCTACCTTACCACGTCAGTTTTGGGGTGAGTGTGTTATGACTGCATGTCATTTGATTAATCGAACTCCATCCACTGTTTTGCAAGGAAAGACACCCTATCAGCTGTTGTTTGGGGAAGTACCTAATATCACTCACTTACGAGTCTTTGGTAGCTTATGCTTTGCTCGTAATGTTTTGCGGGATAAAGATAAGTTTGGGGAACGAAGTAGACGGTGTGTTTTTATGGGGTATCCATTTGGTCAGAAGGGATGGCGTGTGTATGATTTGGAGAAGTTGGAATTCTTTGTTTCTCGAGATGTGGTGTTTCAAGAAGAAGAATTCCCATATCAGTTGTCGGAACAGCGATCGATCGATCCACAGCCGGGATCGATCGATCCCGCACAGTTTGAAGATGATCAGTTTCGACCAGAGATGACTAGATCGATCGATCCGGCACGTGGATCGATCGATCCAGAGTTACTGACGTTTGATGAGTTGACGGACCAAACGGGATCGATCGATCCGGCACGTAGATCGATCGATCCCAAGCTACTGACATGTGACGAGCTTGGACCCGAGACGGAGCGATCGATCGATCCCACGCCTAGATCGATCGATCCAAAGGAAATTACTGAGACATCAGCCACTAACGGATCGATCGATCCGGCACCAGGATCGATCGATCCAGCATCCAGCTCGTCCGATGTTCATATTACGGGGTCCAAAGATAATAAAAAGACTTCAGATACTGCTTTGGAGGAGAGGGGGAGTCAATTAGGAAATGATAGTCTGACTAGTGAAGGGATTAAAGTTAGACGAAGCGAACGGGAAAGAAAACCTCCGGCTCATCTAAGTGATTATGTACTACATACTACACGTTGCTCAGTTGAACATCCCACACTCTCACCGGCACCCACTCAATCAGCATCCTCTGCTCCAGGTACGGTCCTCTATCCCATTGCTAATTATGTGAGTTGTGACCGATTTTCTGATTCACAGAGAGCTTTTCTTGCGGCCATTACTGCTATCTCGGTTCCTAAGTCATATTCACAAGCCGTTAAGGATGAGAAATGGTGCAATGCGATGTCTGGAGAGGTGAATGCTTTAGAAGCAAATGACACTTGGGATATTACCGATCTTCCGCCAGGAAAGAAAGCTATTGGCAGTCATTGGATCTTTACTATCAAGTATAAGTCGAATGGGGAAATTGAGCGTTACAAGGCTCGTTTGGTGGCCATGGGAAATCGACAGGTCGAAGGGTTAGATTTTGATGAGACATTTGCTCCTGTTGTGAAAATGACAACTATTCGCGAGTTTCTTAAGATTGCGGCTGTCAAAAGATGGGAAGTACATCAGATGGATGTTCATAATGCGTTTCTACATGGGGATCTTGAGGAAGAAGTTTATATGAGATTACCTCCTGGCTTTGTTTCTCAAGATAAATCAAAAGTTTGTCGCCTTAAGAAATCTTTATATGGTCTACGTCAAGCACCACGTTGTTGGTTTGCTAAGCTTGCAGCAGCACTAAAAGGGTATGGGTTTGCTCAGCAGGTAGCCGATTACTCTCTTTTTACCTTGGAGCGTGGATCTATGCAACTCTTTGTGTTGGTCTATGTTGATGATTTGTTGATTGGGGGAAATGATCTTAATGGTGTTCAGGAGTTTAAGGGATACCTTAGTGAATGTTTTCATATGAAGGACTTGGGGGCTATGAAATATTTTTTGGGCATTGAAGTATCTCGGTCTCATGATGGTTTTTACTTGTCGCAAAGGAAGTATGCTTTGGATATTGTAAGTGAATGTGGGTTGTTGGGATGTCAACCAGTGTCTACTCCGCTTGAGCAAAACCATAAGTTGCCGGATGATGAAGGAGAGTTCTATGAGGATGTCGAGAGGTATAGGAGGCTTGTTGGGCGTTTGGTATATCTTACTTTTACCCGACCAGATTTGTCCTATGTTGTGCATATGTTAGCTCAATTTATGCAACAACCACGTGCCAAGCATTGGGCTGCAGTTATACGAGTTGTCAGATATCTTAAAGGCTGTCCGGGTCAAGGTATTGTGTTGAGTTCTGATCCTGACTTACAATTGACAGCTTATTGTGATTCAGATTTTTCTACATGTTCCATGTCTCGGAGATCGGTTACAGGATTTATTGTTATGTTGGGAGATTCTCCGATAGCTTGGAAGACAAAGAAACAAGATGTGGTGTCATTTTCTTCTGCAGAGGCTGAATATCGTGCAATGAGTTTTACTACTCGAGAGTTGAAATGGAATCGTGAGCTTTTAGGATGCTTTGGAGTGTCTCATCCGCGGGCGATGCGTTTGTTTTGTGACAATAAGGCAGCCTTACATATTGCTGCCAATCCAGTTTTTCATGAGCGGACGAAGCATATTGAGAGGGATTGTCACTTCATTCGGGATGAAATTCAGGATGGTTCACTGGTTACTGCGCATCTTACCACTACGGAGCAACCAGCGGATATCTTTACTAAGGCTTTGGGTTCTCAGCAATTTGCTTATTTACGGCGCAAGTTGGGCATGTATAATCTTCATGCTCCAACTTGAGGGGGAGTATTAGGGACCTATAATGTAAATATATTATACTTAGGCTAATATGTTAATTTTCCTAAGTATGTTTAGGGTTTCATGTGTAGGATGTATATATACCTTTTCTCAATGTCAATAGAACACAACTTTTCTCTTTATTCTCTTTTCCCTTTGGCAGATTACATAGTTGAGCTTAAAACATTATTGCAACAATAATCATTTTATTGTTTTCGTTTCACTTTGGAGCTATATGATCATAAAAAAATAAAAATAACAAAATTGACAAACAAAAAACGATCGCATCATGTCCGCCACCCTCAGTTATTCTACCTTTGTTTCTTCTCTTTTTGCTAAGAATATAGATATGATTGGTGACACAAGAAATGAAGTTTGACAAGAGAATTTTTAAAAGTAAAAAAAGACGTATGAATTTAGAAGAGACAAGTAATAGCAACAAAACTTGAATGGCTATTTTAGAATTGAATAACGACTGAAATTAGTTCTTATTCTAGAGGTTTAAATGGTAGATATAATTGAAAGTGTTTTTTTTTTTTTAGTTATATGAAATATTTGTAGTTTAGTTAATGGCTTCTTTTACGTACTATCTTATTATTTGAAAATTAATATATTTGGTGTTGAACACAATCTAAGCTTATCTATTTGATTGAAGGCGGCGATTTTGAAAACCAAGATTTAGAGATCGAAAGTGGAAAAATTCTATTTGACTTTGGTTTTCAAAGGATTTTTTATTCGATAAAAGTATTCAAAATGAATACGACGCCGACCTTTTTTTAATATAACCTAAAATCTAGACTATCCGTTTAGTCTAAATTTTTCTATATTTTTTTTTGTACAGGAATTATTCTTGCTTTGGAGAGAAATCATATAAAGTGAATTTTAAATGAACCAGAAGAAATGGGTCTAACAGGCTAGTTATAAAATAGAAGAAATAACATATTTAAACAAAAAGAAAACATCATTATATGTACTAATATATTTATTTGTTAAGTTTCACTGCCACTAAGCTAGATAAGAGAAATCAAAGTGGACTATAATGCCCACAAACAAAGATTCTTTGGCCCAAAAAGTCTACAGACGAATATGGCCCGAAGACAATGCTTTGCTTCTGTTTCAGGCTTTGTATAATGCTTTATTTCACACAGGTATACATATACAGTATATGATATACTTCAAAAAATTTGGTGAAGGCTAAAGAATATACTATAGAGAGTGGTTGAATTTTAGGACCTAAATTCTTAAATGGTATCTCAATGTCAATCCAAAATTCTACAAAATGAGGCTCAAAGTTTTGCCAACCTTCATTGTTCGATACTCTCTTTATTCTTATCTTCAGCGGAATCGAGTTCTTTAACACCACTGAATCCAAGTTCCGCCATATCCTGCTTTGCCATCAAGTTCCTGCATAATAATAATCACCATCATGATCTAAATCCATCCAACGTTTATCGATAAACCTTTTTCTGATACAACCTAAGTAAACAGACTTACTTAGCCATTCGACACTGGAGATATTTCTTTGATAGATGTCTACATTGTTCAGATTTATGAGCTGAAGACTTGAGACAACCAAGATATTCTTTCTTCTCCTGAAAACATCCAAGAAAATACTAAGTGAATAACTCAAAGATAACCAAACACAAAGATACCACATCTCTATTACACCAAGACCAAAATGAAGAATACCGCATCGCATTCGTGCAAGTGATCCAAAGGGAAAATGCCCTTTTCTGGTGGTATTGGTCTTAATCCTCTGTTTCCTCCAAACGCTCCACCTAACAATTACACAAGTAAAATCAACAAGCCCGAGTCAAATCTAGCTTTAGGAAGTAACATTGATCACAAAAACATGTTTATCTACCATTTCGTGCAAAATGAAACATCAATTACATGTCTACGTGGGTTATTTAGTGAATAAGTAAGTATTGATTAAACCCAAAAGAAGATACAAAACTATAAAACATTGGATTTAGGGTTTTGGGTTTTACTTATAACCAAACTCAACACAAATTTTCTTGTCTCCAAGACTAATCGCTGTAATCAGTACATAGACATGTAGATGATGATGAATTGATGATCGATTAACAGTGATTAGTTCTAAAGACTAAACTAAATTATATAAAATTGCTTCAAGAATCTCATAAATCTAGTATTGACAGATGCCTAAAAACAAGAATTTTTTTTCAATTTAAGACGAGCCCAACTTTATTTTCAGCTTCTTTAAGACGAATGAAGAAAAATTAATAATGAGAAGAGAAGAAAACGCACCTGTACTCATTTCGAGAGCCTTGGAAAAGAGTTGGGATTTGCCGATTACACGGTGAGGCTCGAACTCGATGCTGAAAACTGAAAAGTCAAAAAAGAAGGGTCAATTCAATTATCCCAGCTTTTTCATGTTCGGTTCAGGCCCAGGCCCATAATGGCCCATATCTTTAAGTTTCATGTATTTACTGGATCCATTCTATGGTTAACGAGGCCAAGTTAATTTAACTTAGACTAGATAGATGCTAAGTGCTAGTAACTACTTTGGAAACGTGAACGACCGATATTGATTTTTTCTTTATTTTAATTGGTCTATAACTAATTGATCCAATGAATTTTTTCTTGCTCAAATGACACCAATTTTTTTTTTTTTTTTTTTGGTGAGACTCCAAACCCAAACTCAGGCCTGTGCTTCAGGTACCGTCCGGATTCGGATCGGTTCCCAGTAGTTCGATTTAAGGGATTCAAAGATCCATTCGGGTATTCTATAAGTTTGGTTTGGATTCGGTTGGGCCATACTTTGCTTGGATTCATGACGGATTGAATTAGGATTATCCGTTGGTCAGGGCAGGAACTTTTTTAAATTTTTTTGTTTTGGATTGTGTTTCTATGAATATACTCGATTCGAGAAGGGTCAGAAGTGAATACTAAGTAAGAAATCAGCAGTGAATCTAAAGGATAAACGTGATGCTGGAATATAAAAATAAAGAAACACAGATTGAAACAATTGTCCAAGCAAATTGGAATCATACGAGGATCCTTGTCTTCAACTGTTACAACAAAAGAGAAAAATAAAACTTGAGAAACTAAATTATCGGTTCTACAACCACAAATCATCATCTTCTTCTTCATTCTTATTCGCTCGTGGCTGATATGAAGGCACTTCCAGGTTGACGGTTAGCCAATGGCCCATGGTTTGATAGAAACTGCAACAACACAAAACACACATAATTCAGAACCAACCAATCCCTAAACATAATACTATTAAACGGTGTGAAAATCAACCTTAGCATTGACACCATCAGGAACAATCCTCTTCATCGCTCTTAGCTTCGTGTACTCAGCGCGGTTGAATTTGGTGAATCCCCTGAAAACACCAATGATCAATTTAGTAAATATACTCAAACATCAAACAGACAAAGAAATTGCCAAGAGACTTAAAACATACCATTTCCTGCTAACAATGATCTTTTGACGACCAGGGAACTTAAACTTAGCTCTACGAAGAGCTTCCTGAGCATGAACTCCATGATTATCCTTACACCTAACAGACAAAAGAACCTGTCCGATCGCAACTCTAGCACAAGTACCAAGAGCTTTACCAAAAGCACCTCTCATTCCAGTCTGAAGCCTATCAGCTCCAGCACACGAAAGCATCTTGTTGATTCGCAAAACATGGAACGGATGAACCCTAATCCGGAGATGGAACGCATCTTTACCAGCAGATTTAACCATGTACTTGTTACAAGCAATACGTGCAGCTTCAAGAGCTTCACTTGAAACATTCTCTTTCTCCCATGAAACCAAATGAACACAGAATGGAAACTCATCAACTCCTTTCCTCTTCATCCCGACATCGTAAATCCTGATTTTCGGATCTGGAACTCCACGGCAGTATCGTGATTTCGGGTATGGCTTTCCCTTAATCTGACGGTAACATCTCGCTGGTCCTACACATTTTACAAGGGAATTGGTCAATCAATAGCGTTTACACACAAAAAATCCTAAATTGTCATAATCAAAAACTCAAACTAATCCAAAAACTAGCAATTTGGTATGAACACAGATTCAGAAAACAAGATTCTACACATTTGACATGATAAATTGAAAATCGGCAAGTTTAATCAATGGCGATTCATACACTAAACCCTAAATTGACATAATCGAAATATCAAACTAATCCAAAACCTAGCGATTACATATGAAACAAAGGTTAGCGAGACATAATTCTACCAAAACCGAATCGAGTCAACATTTCACATTTTGAAATGAGAAATTTGAAGACTGGCGTTGACACACAAAACCCTAGATTGATATAATTAAAATCTCAAACTATTTCTTCACACAGATTGAAGCAAAACACAATTCTACCAAAAATGAATCGATTTCAACGAATTCGAATTGAGATTGTTGATAAGTAGAAAAGATCGACTTACTTCGTCCCATCGTGTTGGATTCGTTCGATGTTGGTTTTGCAAAACCCTAGAAATTACAAATGGGAAGCTGTGATGGTTTTTTATAGGTGCGACAAAAGACAAACCCTAAATTTAGCATACGTAACTGCTTAGCTAAATAAAGGCCCATTTAGATATTTGATGCTCGGTCCAGGCCTTTATCTTTGACTTTGACTATGTGAACACGTTATTTTTTTTTGGCTAATGTTTTTTTATTTATGGTCAAAGCAGAAGAACAAAAGAAGAATATTTTAACAACTTTGTAGCCAAATTTGAGTGTTCTTCTAGAGGGTTAACAAATCCATCCACATCAAAAAAGATATATGTTATCAGTTTGTTCTCTTATAGACAGTAATGAGTAATCTTGTAAGCTTTGTTCCATAAAGAATGTTGTTATGCGTGTGTTATATAAAAAAAAAGAGAACCACATTCAAAAACTCAGAATGGCCTCCAAATTTTGAAGTCTAGGGGACACATCATAATCCATATTAGACAACAGAAGATAACATATGCACGACACTAAAAAGACTGGGATCAGACCAAAGGCAAAAATCACAATTGTCTCATATGATTTATAAAACACATATACTCAAATGGTTTAAAACACATACTCTCGATGTCTATTCTACCGCTTCTCGCCGCATAAACAAGTAGCAGCTTGAAGAGCGAAGTATGTTAGGATGATGTCCGCTCCAGCTCGGCGTAAGCACATCAGTGACTCCATCATCACTTTCTCTTCATCGATCATCTTCAGAACTCCCCCTGCTTTGATCATTGAGTACTCTCCAGAAACCTGAAAATTCATGGAGAGATTAGAATAAACAAAAACCTCAGACTGGGAATGTTACTCAGTAAGTTTAGAAGCAGAGTATAATAAGGCAAGTACTTGGTATGCAGCAATGGGCAATGGAGATTTGTCCCTCAGAAGCCGTATGATGTCCAAATATGGAAGACCTGGCTTCACCTGTTACAAAACACACCAATTTATTACCAAACTCTATAAAATGTTTTGCTAAAGAATGATAAAAGACTTACCAGAAGAATGTCTGCTCCCTCAGCCTCGTCTTCACGTGCCTCAATCAAGGCCTCTCTGTAATTTGCTGGGTTCATCTGATACCTATAGTTCACAAAGTCAGTTTGTAACGTTAGGGTTAGCAAAAGAAATGCAAATGGGTTGATGGGACTTACGTTTTCTTGTCTCCGAAACGTGGATTGGAGTCCAGGGCTTCACGGAAAGGACCGTAAAACGAACTTGCATACCTGTTGGCAGAAGATGCAAACAATTAGACAGAACAAACAAGAATATGCTTTCAGAAAAAAATTTGAGGTAAAAAGAAATGTATGATTACTTGGCTGTGTAGGACATGATGGAGACGTTTTGAAATCCTTCAGCATCAAGAGCTGCACGGATTGCACCTACTCGCCCATCCATCATATCACTCGGACTGACAACGTCCGCTCCAGCTCGGGCCTGGAAAGAGAGAGGGAGAGATCATATTTCATTAGTAAGAAAAATACTTCAGACATTTTGACTCTTTGATATCGAAAAGATTTACCTGGGAAACAGCTTGCTTACACAGCTGATGTACCGTTTCGTCATTCATAATTACACCTACAGAGATAAATCTGTATCACAACTCCAATCAAAAATGTAACAGAAGGAAGTGGGGTAGAAATACTTACCATCCTCTCTAACTATTCCATCGTGACCATCGGATGAGTAGGGATCCAAAGCCACATCAGTGTAGATAACCTAGCAACAGAGGAGAACGTTTGTCACAATTCCAAATTACCCCATTTTTCATCTGCTGGTATATTTAACAAACTGGGATTACGGATCTTACAAGATCAGGATATTTGTCTTTAAGAAGACGAATTGTTCGAGGCACCAAACCATTGTCATTGTATGCCTCATCTCCTGTTGGATTCTACAAAATGGAAACCAAAATAAAGAGTTCAATATACAACTCAAGAACAAATGTACGCATAGAAGAGAAGTGTGAAAGACCTTCAAAGCCTCAGGAACTTTAGGGAACAGGACGATACTGTTTACACCAACAGCTCGAGCCTTTGCAACCTATTTGCATAGAAAATCAGAAATAAAAATCATGTTCTTGTAACACGGCGACAACAGATAAAGGAATCATCAAATCAAAACACAGAGCCAAACCTCTTGTACAAGACCATGCCTCCAGCCAAGTCTATAGCAACCGGGCATAGCTCCAATAGGCGTGTCTTCCTCACCTGCCACACTCCAAAACCACATAATGTTAATTAAAGACAAGAGAGACCCATTGAGAGATATTAAAGTCAGAATACAAAGGAAACTAACAAACCTTCATGAATGAAAAGTGGGTATACAAAATTTGCAGGGGAGATATCAGTTTCTTGAAAGGCGGCTCTCGCCACAGGGGAAGCACGGTTACGACGTGGGCGTCGGCTTAGATTCTGAAAGCATAAGTAACAGTAAGCTACATAAAAGTTTCAACCTTGCAGCTAAACATATTGTTCACTACATCGAGATTTAGAGATAGCTAATACACAAGAGTGATGAAATCAATCAAAGAACGACGAATTGATTCAAATTATTCTCTTAGCTAACAGCAAATCATCTGTACAATGCAACTAAAGCAAATTCACAATGAAAGTAAGGGACTTGGATACTCACAAGAGGCTGAATTATCGGTGTACCAATTGGAGCAGCGGGTTTAGGTGGAACCGGAGGAGCTTCAGGAACATTTCCAGCAGCAACAGCGGCTTCACACTCAGCATCACTCATTCCAAGTTTCTTAGCGTGTCCATTGCCAGATTCACTAGCTCTTATGACAAGATTACGACGTTGACTAGTTGCAATTCGAGAAGAAGCCACACTCACTTTACTCACATTCGATCTCAGACCAATATAGTTCTTACAATCGATTCCTCTGGTCGATGGAAAGCTACACGAGGCATTAAAAATCGGTGTAGTAGCCATGAATCTGCAACACACACACAAGAACACATTGAGAATTTCATCAACAAATTGTGATATTGACTTCTGAAATTGAGGTTTCTAAGATCTACCCGTTACTTATAATGCAGGATTCAATTGAAAGTTACAGACTTTAGATTAAACAAAGCAAGATTTAGGTGAAGATGAAGAAGAAGAAGACTAAAGCTGTTTCGTTCAAAATGAAAACACAGAAAGCAAAGAGAAACAGAGTAAGTTCTTGTTCAAACCTTGAATTTGAAGATTTGAAGAAGTAGTTGGGATTAAGGAAGCTGGGTTTAGGAGAAAGATGATAACTTTGGATGATCGCCGATTTTGAGTCTTGACAAATTGACAAAGAAGATAGAGACTGATGTTCACGCGCTTTAGCTGCGAGTATACGAGTTTGAGAACTGGGAAATTTGAAGTGAAGATGGTTTTACAACTGGGCTTGAATTGATAAGAGTTTTAATGGGCCTACTTTGATTAGTTAAAACTGGGCATTGTAAAGTATGGTCCAGTTTCAAAATTTTAAATCCTCGAAACGGTCTACAACTACTGTATATTGCTACTTTTTTTTTTAGTTGTTTTCTCTTGGAAATAATGGAGGAAGAAAATTCAAAAGATGGAAGAAGCAAGATTGTCTCAGTAGGCCTACGAACACATAAAGGCAAGTATTGATTTAGTCAACTGGAAATATGAGTAATGAGAAGCTAAGCTAACATGAGGTTGTGAGCTACTCTCTTACTAGTCTTGATTGACAAAAGACAAAATTCATTGACGAAGACTTAAAGACGTAATTGATGTCCAAGTAAACGGAATCTTTCTTATCTACCTCTTCTTACAAAAGAAAATATTCAGGAAAGAACAAATTTTTCTTAAGCAGAACATAAACATGAATTCTTATACTAGTTTTTCTCTTTTGATTCTCTTCTCATTCCTACTTTTTTTTTACTCCAGATTTTGCGGTTCTTACAGTTTCTTGTCCAACACACTGTGGAGGAATCGAGATCGTGTACCCCTTTGGAGTCGGAAAGGGTTGTTATCTGGAGAAGTGGTACGAAGTTACATGTAATAATACCTCTACTTCTGGAAAGCTCGTCCCTTTTCTTTCCGTAATCAACAAGGAAGTTGTGAATTTCTCTCCTCCGACTCAGCTCGAGGATTATTACGAGCCCTTTCCGCACGGGACAGTTAGCATAAGAAACCCAATAACTTCAATGGGATGCTCAAGCGACGAAGAAGAGCTTGGATCACTTTTGAATTTGACTGATACCCCTTTCTACGTTAGCAGGAGAAATACACTGATAGGAGTTGGTTGCAATAACACGGCATCGTTGACAAATGTCGAGCCAAGCATAGTGGGATGCAAATCTAGTTGCGGCACACATCCCCTTACGCCTGCTAGAGATTATCTTGCACTAGTCAGTTGTGATGAGTATGGCTTTGACCAGCGTTGTAATGAAAGACGAGGCATTATGAATGGAACAAGCTGCAATGGTATTAGATGCTGCCAGGCAAACATGGTCGACAGTATTGAACAGATTGTTGGTGTCAGAATAGAAAGCACCATAACGAGAGGGTGCAAAGTTGCCTTCTTGACAAACAAGGCATCCTTTTTGTCTAGTAAATCTGATCCGCAAGAGCTTCATGCTAGAGGATACAGTACGGTTGAGCTAGGATGGTTTATCCATACTACGAATCATTCATTTGTAAAGTCTCTGGGATGCTATAGTACTGTAATAGAGTACATGAATGTATACGTCACCCCTAGAAGGAATACAAGAAGTTGTGTATGCGACAGTAATACTTATCTAAGCTATGCAAGCTGCTCATGCATTAGTGGTTTCGAAGGCAACCCATACCGTTTAGACGGATGCAAAGGTTAGTAATTGTGTTTATAGTTCATGTTTTTACTCAAATTTTATATGTCCATGATCAAAGCAAGCCAATGGAATCATCGTTTGGTTATAATCTCTTTACATTTTGAAATCAGATATTAATGAATGCCAAAAAAAAGAAGTTGATGGAACTCACACTTACTGTAGTAGAGGCACTTGCGTCAATTTGCAGGGAGACTATCATTGTGTGTACACAAATCACACAAATCATCATCGGCCCCTGGCTATAGGTAAGTCGTGGTAATTTTTATCTTAAATACGTGTGGTCCATTTAAACTCTTTTACAATGGTGAATGATGACCAACTTTTCTTTTATTTTTTTTTGTCAACAATGATGATCAATCATCTATATATTACCATTTATCCAAGAAGTTCTGAGTTTGCAGGCCTTGGTTCGAGTTTCGGCTCATTGATCTTTGTTGGTGGAATATACTGGTTATACAAAATTATTAAAAAGCAAAGAAATTTAAACCAAAAGAAGAAGTTTTTCAAGCGCAATGGGGGTCTATTGTTGCAACAACAATTGACTTCAACAAAAGGCATGGTCGAAAAGACAAAAGTGTTCAGTTCGCGAGAGTTGGAGAAAGCTACCGAAAACTTCAGCTCAAACAGAATACTTGGTCAGGGTGGTCAAGATACTGTGTACAAGGGAATGCTTGTCGATGGAAGAATTGTTGCAGTAAAAAAAGTCCAAAGTCGTGGATGAAGACAAGCTAGAAGAGTTCATCAATGAGGTTGTCATTCTTTCACAGATCAACCACAGGAACATCGTAAAACTCTTGGGATGTTGCCTCGAGACAAATGTTCCAGTTCTCGTCTACGAATATATTCCTAATGGTAACCTTTTCGAACATCTTCATGATGAGTTTGATGATAACATGATGGCTACATGGGAAATGCGTCTCCGCATTGCTATTGATATTGCAGGAGCTCTCTCATACTTGCACTCGTTTGCAACGTCTCCAATCTATCACAGAGACGTCAAGTCTACAAACATAATGTTGGATGAGAAATATCGAGCCAAGGTATCTGATTTTGGAACGTCAAGAACGGTAACAGTGGATCATACCCACTTGACAACGGTAGTTTCAGGTACGGTGGGATATATGGATCCAGAGTACTTTCAGTCTAGCCAATTCACAGACAAAAGTGATGTCTACAGCTTCGGGGTTGTGCTAGTGGATTTAATAACTGGAGAAAAGTCGATTTCTTTTTTGCGGTCTCAAGAAAACAGGACATTGGCAACTTATTTCATTCTTGCAATGAAAGAAAACAAACTCTTCGACATTATCGATGCTCGAATAAGAGATGGTTGCATGTTGAGTCAAGTGACTGCAACGGCGAAAGTTGCAAGGAAGTGTCTCAATCTGAAAGGGAGGAAACGACCAAGCATGAGAGAAGTATCGATGGAGCTTGATATAATTCGTATGTCTTCTGGAGATATGCAAATGCAAGAGTATGTAAGCGAAAACGAGGAAGAGGAAGAAAAAAACAAAGGAGTTGTGGAAGATATCATAAGGGTAGAATCAAGGAGCAATGAGGTTGTTACTGCTCCAGCTTCTCAATATAATATAGCTGCTGCCTCATCTTCTTCGTGGTCAGATGTTGAACCATTGTTTCCTCTTCAAACACGGTAAAACTTCAACTTTGAACATTGTCTTTGCTTTTACGTTTGAGTTCTGTACTAGCCAAGTGTGTGTAATAATAACGACTCTCTTTGTATCCATTTCCCAACAAAAAAACACATAAAAATAATTTGATATTTTGGTTATTACGATATGTTTACGCAACAACTATACAAAATTCAAATGTTATAGAGATAACATCCATAAAATGCATAAACTTTTCCGAGTTGTACTTGTTCCACCCAAACTTTTGTCTTCTTGATTTATTACACAAACCTCATGAATCGTATTGGTTCCACGAAAACTAGCAAAATGCTTTATTGAATATTGACTTTTGATTTTTGAAGATCTAAAGAGTTTGTGAATCGAATCAGGACAATATAAGACGAAGAATCTCCCCGGAAAACTTGAACGATTTCTCTGTCTCTTCCAAACAATGATTCTTCTCTTCTCTTGTCCAACACTGCCCATTTAAATATCAAAACCCACATTAGCCATTAGAATGCACAAACTATAATCTTCCTTGTTCACAGTAGTGTTAAATTCACAATACCTCTGCAACTTTGTTCAGTTTTTGCCTCACATTCTGCAACAATTGAGAAAGATGACCGTCCCATTTATAGAACTCGAGTTCTTTATCATCGAGTATCTTCTCAGATACCTGAAAAAACTTGTAAAACTTTCAGAAAATAGTTCCAACTTCAGTGATTTTGGTGCAGGAAGTTTCTTTCTTTACCTTTGTTCCAATCATTTGGCCACCGGCGCTATGAGCAAAGTAAATGTTGTAGAAGTGACAAATGAATGCTTGAGGATCATTCTCTGCTAAATCTTTTAAATACTCAGAATATGTTTTACCAGGAGCCATCGGCTCTGGAATTTCATAACCTTGTTCCTTGAACCATTCCAAATCCTTCCGCAAACTCTCTGCTCTTTCCAATCCCGTGTTCTTGAAACCGGCATCTACACATAACAAAAACAGAGATTTTGACAATGTTAAACAAGAAAAAGAACCTACTCTTCGCAAACCGGTATATGTTTCTAATACATTATAAAGAACCCTGATCCTTCAGATTGTTTCAAGAATCTAATGTGTGCATATGATCCAAGAAGTTTGGTCTCACTTTAAACGCAACTTCTGAAATGAATCAACATGATACTTCAAATTCATAAGAAATGAGAAAGAAACTCACAAGTTGGGAAATTGGAATCGTCGATGATCCCCTCAAGCGTGTCGTAAACCAACTTACTATCCACAAGAAACTGTAAGTATCCTTCCACCGTTGGTTCCCATTTCGCCACCGGACCTTCCTCTGGAGATTTTGATTCTTTTTCTCCTTCCCTTGCTTGATCTTTCGTATGCAATCTCATTGCCACAAACCTCATCTCTTCCACAAAACCCTTTGATTCTCCTGGATACTTCTTTTGTTGCTTCTCCATTATAGCCGCCGCAGTCACCACCGAAGCTTGACCACCGTTTGCTTTTACAGCAAGATAGCCACGTGGAGCGGTTAGGGTTCGTGCATAACTAATCCTCGCGGTCGTTCTCAGACCTAGATAGCTCTCAAAATAAAGTCTTGTGCTCGATGGAAAGTGGCAAGAAGAGTTAAGTCTTGTTGTAGCCATGAATCTGCAACATACATTCGAATTGAGGATCTCGTCAAGCCATAGGATATAGAACCGAAATTAGGGTTTGTAGGAAAGGAAGTGTAAGCATCAAGCTTACGAAAGGAAAAAAAAAAATTAACAATTGACGGATTCAAACACCAAAATGTAAATTTTCAAATCAAAGCTAAGAAAACAAAGATTTTTAATAATGTAAAAAATAAATTACAACCATACCTCGAAATTTTTCAGATTGAATGAATGAGAAAGATGATGGGAGATGAAGGGTTTCTATGGGGTTGGGGATTTTTCTTAAATATTTGTTTGTAACAATTAGTCAATTACCAACATCATAAATTGGTATTTTTTCTTTTCTGTTTTTTTTCTTTCTCAAACAGTCAGATAATATTTTTGGGAAAAATCGAAAATTTAGATTTGTTCTGTTTTCTTAGTTGTGTGATTGACCTTTTGGGTCAACCATGACAATGAAGTTTGTTTGTCATAAGGAACTAAACAATAAAAAAAAAAAATTGAATTAAATATATAATTTACAACAAACATTTTTTTCTATGAACAGCAGAAAAACATCATGTTCCAAAACAAATAAAATCTGCATCCATGTGTTTCTCTATTTTTATTCTATATGTCACTATCTTTTCTTTATCTCTGTTAGTCTCTCTCTATTGGAGAAGACAGGAGTCCTAAGAAACTAGAATGTTGTGGCGCTCACACACTTTAGCTCCATTTTCACCCCACCACTTCTCCGCTTGTTCTTCGGTAAATTGTTTCCGGCTGCAGAATAAACAGAACAAGTATTTGTGAGCGATAACATGGTATAGTGTCATGTTGTGCCGCTGAGTTAGCTAAAAAGGTGAGTTTAGATTACATTATAAGGAGACGAGAAGCATTCATATACCTGAACCGGACACGCTTGAGTTCAGTACCACCACCAGGTAAAGCCAACAATGTTAAATACACTCCTGGTTCGTCTTGCACAACCCTCTCTGGTTTCTCATTCTGTTTCCTATGCCCATTAGCGAAGCTCCTACTTGTTAGATTGTTCTCATGTTGACTATCATGAGAAACCATGCTTCTTATATGTGTTTGGTTACTAGTCTGAGTTATCTCTGATGTCTCTTTGTCTGTGCGCTTTGAGTTGGTGCTAATAGCATCCTTTTGAGATTGTCTTTCAGCCATTTCCTTCAACTGCGAAAACCGTAGTAACGTTATGAGAGATAGATATAAGAGACAAACGAATGTAGTAGAGTCTGGAAATTTTCAAACCTGAGTGGTGAGAGATCTAATAACCTCCTTTGCAGATCTATTTTCTTCTGCTTCATCTGCTGCCATTGCAGTGACCACTTTTAACTGCCTTTTGGTTTTTTCGAGTTCCTCTTCAAGTTGGTGAGTTTTGGAAGTAAGTTGTTCTACCTACAATGTTCAGTAGATAGAAACATTTTTTATAGTCTAGAAGCATTTGCTTTTGATGTGATTTACAGCTGAAAATAGATGATGGTTAGAAAGAACTATACCTGTTCCTTTAGACCCGCCATATCATGATTAAAACTGTCTTTTATTTGTTTAGATTCCGCAGCTGCTACTTCATAAGATCGACGTGGACTAGTTGACTTTACTGAAACTGGGGATGTTGTGCGAGAGCTCATTCCTGAACCAGGAATTTTAACCATCATATTCTTGGGAATTTTAGGCAAAGCTGTTGATCCTTTGGATAATGGCGAACCAACAAGCTGTAAACTGCCATTCATGGAAGGGAAGACATTACTGTTATTTACTTCCGGTTTTAAGTCTCGTCTGTGGTGCCTTCTTTCACCGTAATGCAATAAAGAGTCAGCAGACGATATTCTGGCATGCGCTGAGAGGAACTTTTGAGTTAAGCTGTCTCTTTCTGAAACATCTGTCGATTTCCGCATGTTCAAAAGTTTTCTGGCCCGTGAAGTTGGCGTAGAAGTAGATGGTTCTCTCGATTTTTTCAGCTTGGTAAAACATCCGTAACACACTCGATATGGTTTGTTCATATCAGGTGCCAGAGCAGCTCTCAGAGACTTCCTACTGCTGCATACTTTACAAAATACCAGACCACAGTTGTAACAGTTGTGGCGTTTTCTTCTAAAGTTGAAGGGATTGCGGCAACCAGCACATAGAGAATGTTCAGAGCCAGGTACCCATTTGTGAACACAAATCACAGCAGTAAAGTTTGATCCACATGTTATAGCCTTCACTTGCTTTTCTTTCAGAAAACCCACAACCGCAGGTTCTCTTTTGTTCTCAATGGTTCCATGGCCTAACTGGCCATTTAATCCCTTTCCCCATGTGTAAATTTCTGATTTAGATGTCAAAACTGCAACATGATAAGAACCACACGCAATCTCCTCCACAGAAGCCTCTACTATGTCTCCTTCAACACGCGCAGGAAAGTTTCCCTTGGCGGTAGGATTACCAAGCTGCCCATAAGCCGTGCTACCCATTGTATACACATGTCCTGTGGATGTAAGAGAAACAGTGAGACTATGTCCGCAGGCAACTTGGCAGATATTTTCATTCGACAATGAAATTACACACTCGGGAAGTAGTTGTGCATCATTGTCACCATGACCAAGCTGGCCTTTCTCGCCATCCCCCCATGTGAAGACTTGCCCGCGTGAAGAGCCAACTTCTGCCTCAGATGCTTCATTTGTCACTTCTACCAGTGCAGCTGTATGCCAAACGCCACACGCAACCTTCGTTACTATTAGTCCACTTAGGATTTTAACTTCACGGGGAACACTTGTGCTTCTCCGGTCTCCATGACCCAGAGCGCCAAAAGATCCATCTCCAAACGTGAACAACTGGCCTGATGATGCAACTACTGCTGTATGCCAGGGACCGCAAGCGACATATGATACATACAGTCCCTGTAAGGCACCAGTCACTCTCTTGGGAATCCAGCAGCTGGATTCATTCCCGTGCCCAAGCAAATCGACATTATGAGTGCCATCACCCCAACTGTAAAGATCACCAGATTGAGTAATAGCGCATGTATGGAAATCTCCGCAGGCTAAAGATTTGAAACCCAATCCTCTGACACTACTAATGAACTTTGGTTGTTGGACGTCTGTTTCTAAGCCATGTCCTAGCTTTCCACCTTTTCCCTCACCCCAGCTGAAGATCTCTCCTTGTTTGGTAACTAAAACCGCATGACATTTACCACATGCAATGTTTTGGGCATCAAGTACTATAGTTGATTCTAATGCTTTTGGTAAAAGGACATCCTCTGTCGTGGAGTTCAATGAATTTCCAGTGCCGGTAAGTACACCATCACATATAGATTCACCCCAGACAAAAACATCACCTAAGGCATCAAAGTCTTCGTGATATGAACCATGGCTAGAGGTGCTCACAGCGCTAGATAGACTGAGCCGAATTGGGTCATTGGTCGAGAATCGTAAACTTGAATTTTCAACATTTACCGGAGTCGGAGAAAATGGACAGAAAAGGTTGGCACTGGTTTCTGTTTGATTATTATTACTGGGGGGTGCAGTTATTGAAACAATGTCAGAAAACACTTTCCCCAACCGGGTTTGTGTAGAAGTCTCATTAGAGGGTTGAATAACTTGATCCTGTGGTAAGATGATGCAAAGTATAAGGTGTTCGTTCAAATTCCTAAAAACATAAAACGTAGTGTTACTCACAAGAATTGTTACAAATGGAGACACTCTTCGTGCATGAGGGGTTGGACATTCCGCCGAAGTGATCTCAGGTTTAATAGTGTTTTTCCATTTGGAGACTTTTACCCGAGTAATCAATGACTTCAAACCAACAACCCAAACTTCTGCTTCATCTTTGTCTTTACATATCTGCCCAAAACATCATCAACAAGGTCAAGATGAATATGCATTCGACAATTGGCGGATGGTATTGCTCATTAAGATGGCACGAAAACTCACCAAATCCAAGGACCTGTCAGGACATATGAGCGAAAATGACTGATACTCTTTCTCGGGGCGTGGATATCTCTTAAATGTAGACTGAAACAAACTTTAGCTGTTGAGTCTAAGACGAGGGTAAGAACAAGCCGAAACATATAGAACAGAAGAAAGAAGCATGATAATTTGAAATGACGCCAAGAGAACATGAGACCATCTTACAAAGTTGCTATAGTTGAAAACTTGAAATGGTATAGAAACATTTTCAAACACTAACTTATAACTTGGGAACTGTACTTGTTTATGAACATACATACATATTACAGAGAAAAACTCACCGTGCGTTGTCCAGGAACAATTCTCAGGACTTGACTCAGCTTAATCTGCTTCTCTTCTTTGCCAGAGTACCATACTAATGCAGACTCGTCCTAGGATAAATTCACATGTAAGATAAATAAGCAAACAAGAAGAATACAAAGACTTCTCTCTCTATATATCAGTAGAGAAACATGGCGTCCAAGAACTCTTACACTTGTGAGCTGGAATGGACAAAACTTGGGCTTCCCTCTACGCCCATATTTCAACAAGTAAGATCCTTTCTTAAGTGACGTAATGGCCTGGTAAATTCATTATACAATAGGAAAGATACACTGCTTAATACCAAACTCAGTAAAAAAGAATCACATCAAACTCATTTTGATTCTCCAGAACAATTGCGTATTCTAAGCATATATGAAACAAAAGTTTCCATCTTGCAATCATTTTCAATCATTCAAAACATAGCTGATAAAGAGTAAAGTACCTGTTCAACGTCTCTCTCAGAGAGACTAATTCTCGAGGAATCAGCCATTGAAACTGCAAAGAGCTAATTCCCTTTCGAATCATAATTCTCAACCAAATCGTTTAACATCACTCGAATCTCCTTCCAATCATTCTATCTAACCCATTCTAGTAGCTAGCTTTCTTCAAAATCTAAGATTTCAAAATCCCCCAAACTCTCAAGTCCAAAATATACATTAACCAAAACAACAAAATCTACTCTGATGAATCCTCAGGAACAAACAATTTGCTCCAATTCTTCACCGATTCGTTGTTCACCAATATTTTTCAAATCCCTCGTCGACGCCTCGTCGAAGCAAATCCTAATAATCTGAAAAACCTCGATGAAGAATCTCTGGGATTAATCAATGCGAAAACAAAATCCAGAAAAATTCCTCGCCGGACGTAGAAGCAGCAGCACCGTCGATCGCCGGCGATGATTCGGGAGGCTATTCGTGATTTGAGAACCTACGCTTCTGCTTCGCTCGCGTTTATTCAAAATCTAAACCTTTTTAATTTTTAATTATTTTGTCTTTATTTCATCATTCTCCATAAATGTTAGCCGCATAAATCTAAACCTTTCAAAATTCGCATATCGTTAATATTTATCTAAGCCCGGCTCATTTTGTTATAAGCCCAACTCGTTAAATAATTGAATAGTCTAATCATTTAAGTACAAAACAGCGACAAAACTGGACAGAGCTGGGCCCATGAATTTTGACTTAAAGTTTGCTTACACACACAAAAGAGAAAAAAAAAAAAAAAAAAAAAGTTTTTCCAGGTCCTACAATAATCACAAATCCTTAGTTAAAAGTTGTCAAATTATGCAGCTGATAAACATTGAAATTTATATGAATTTTGAGTGGATTAATAATGTACACTACTAAAAATTTCCACCATAATTAGAAGACGAACATGGAATTCTATTTATAAGAAAACATGTTATTACATAAAGCTTATACATAATCCTGGAAAATTATGAAACCATAGAGTCACATAACGAAGCTTATGAAGTGAAAGTAGCTAAACCGGTTTAATGAACAGACCGGACCATAGCATGGTATAGTAATAAACTTAGTACCTATAATCATCATCAAAGATCATGTAATTATTAGTTCCTCTACCACTCCTTCCTCTTTCATAACTATCCTTCTGCATCACCACCAAACACAACATTATGTTACATACAAATGTACATGATTAGGTGAAATGTGAATGTGAATTTTACTTACCCTAACGATCATTCGCTCAAACGCCTCGGTACCATGTTGTTCCATGTATTTTTCAGCAGCAGTGAGGATATCGTCATCGTCGCGTTTAGGGAAGAAATTGAATTTCTTATGAGGAACATACCAAATTTTGGTGGTAGCTCTTTGAGGATCTCTATAGAATGGTCTTATGAAATGTTTGTAGATATGTTCTGCTCCATTAAATTGTGGTAACACTAACCAACATATCCCAAACAACTTCATGTATGGCCATATAGGAAACCTTATAAAAACAAAAACAAAAACTGATATTAGTATTACCTAATTATGATTAAGAAACTGATAATATACTAAGTGTTAATGAATCACTAACCACTCGAGAGGTTTGGAGAAAGTGAGTTCAAAGAGAGAGATGAGTGCGTAAAGAACCCAGTAAGTGAGCCATTGTTCATCTTCTGGTAATGATCTTGTCTCTATTGCTTTCACTGATGCATATCTGTTTATTTTATTATTTTGACAACATAGTAATTATTATTCCAACACACGATCTTATCTTACAAAAGTTTAACGTCTCGTTTCTTGGATTCTAAGTGGGTGTGTGTGGATATACGTGCATCTGAATAATTTTTTTATTCCTTAATGACAGAGGATCAAAGTTTTATTTTTATTTCTTAAACCCCAAAAATTTTCAAGTGTTCATATAAATCTGAGCGAAAGATTTGACTAAAAAGTGAGTTTTGCTAACAATTAAATCTTTAAATTAGCTTAATCAACAGATTTAACACACATAAATATATGAGAGAGGTTGGTTTCACTTACAGAGGATAGACGAGTGTAACCAATGGGCTGCAAAAGCAAAAATGTACTAGTAAGTTTCAACTTTCAAGATTCCAATAAAGAAGAAAAAAAAACTCCATAAATTTGTATTAATCTAAAGAGGGTTTTATTTTCAAGAATCTAAGTAAACTCTAGACAATATAGCTAAACCCAGTAGAAATTAAACTAAAGAAACAAGATAGGATCTAATTAACACACAAAAAAAGAATCAAGATAGGATCTGTAAAGAGAAATTAGAGAAGAGGCAGAGGAAGAGAGGTTTTACAGAGCAAGGACATCGAAGTTCTTGATGAGAACTTGAAGAACATTATCATCTCCAGAGTTTGAAGGCATTGTTACTCTCCAGTTTCTTCCAATTTCTTAAGCTTTCCCTTTTTTTGTTCTCTCTTTCTCTTACTGTGGAAGTGGAAACAAAAGTGGAGGCCAGGTTTCACTTACAGAGACTTCTTGGACTTTTATGACCACTCAATTCTTTTTTCTTTTTTTACTTTTCAAATTTTGGGGTAAAAAGCACAAGAAAAGAGGCACCGAAATTTTGCCAATTATTATGGACAATTTTTTTGTCCAAAAAAAAAAAAATATTATGGACAATTTTATTTCCTAAACAGAATTACCATAATATTACTTGTGATTTCATATCTTCAGTGCCGGTCCGGTAAAATCCGAGGCTAAATACGAAAAAAAAATTGGGGCCACTTTAAAAAATAAAAATTGCTAACTTTTTTTTTTACTAATTATGAGATATTCATAATTTTTATTTCTTATTTTAAAAAAAATTCTGGACATTTTTTGTTAATTGAGAGACTTTTTTACTAATTGTGGAATATTTTTTGTTAATTATGAGATTTTTTTGCTAATTTTTAGGTTTTTTTTTTATTTTGAGGCCTAATTAAAAAAAAAAAAAAATCTTAACAAAGGGTCTCAAAAATTTGAGGCCCAATACAAATGTTTTTTCAAAATTGGTGCTGGGCCGGGCCTGCATACCTTTAATTGGTTTTATATACTTCTAAAAAACTATGATAAAATTTGAACATGTTACATTTTATTCTAAATCGGTCACGTTGAATACATTTTGCGTCTAAATCTCTCAAGTGCAGAGTCTCTAGACTCTAGTTGACTTTTTTCTCTGAGCCAATAATGGGCTTTGCATAAAATTTATAAAATGGGCCTTATAAGAGCCCAAGTATTATATATAGCCCATATCATTTAATGCATTATCCAAACTGGGCTTGAACATAGAAAAGTATCATCTAATTCGAAGTATTCGTGAAAAAATCTCAAAGGTTTTAGTCATCTATATATTCTAAATGGATTAATTATTATAAAAAATTTAAATACTTAGAGCACCTTCATCGCACAACATATGTGGATGTATATTTTAAAATTAAAAAAAAATAAAAAGAAAGAATTTTTTTTTCTTTTCAGTTCATATAAGGTTGAAAGATAAAGACTTTTGTATTCGAATTTTATGTATTAAGAATTAATAATAGTAGTAATATCTGGTATTTAGTCCTTTACTATATCTTCCAGAGAAATATAGAATGATTATAGTGAGGACGACGAATGATTGTATTAGTGAAGCCTGATTAAAGAAAATTGACAAGCAAGTGATGGAATGATGATCATCTAATCTTTTCCAGATCAAAAACAAAGAACCCACATGAATACACTCTTCCATACGGGTACTTAGATCCATAAATCTATATTTTAAGCATACTTTAGTGAACATTTTAATTCCTTTTGGACCTATTGAGTAATGCCAGATTACTACTACTTCTACTTGTTGTGCCCTTTCCTTTTGCTGCAGATTTCTTTTTATTATAAAATAAAACGCCGACAAAAAAAAACAATGATCGGTCATGACTCGTATCTTATTGTTTATCTAGAAAGTAATACGTAAACAATAATATACAAATATCAAAGAAGATTCATGAGATCATCTGATCATCTTAGTGTGTGTCTATACATATTTCTTTTTATCATCGTGAAATCTAGTTTAGTTTAGCCTATTGATATGTAATTGAGATCAAATAGAATTACGTTCGTCTTAATATGTTTGAACATTAACCCTAGTTGTTATAATATTTGATGTCCTTTTAATTGACAGAACATATAGATGAGGTTATATAACCGACAGGCCTATGATGTCAAGGAATGGTTCACACCGATCTATAGAAGGTTCAAGTATATATTATTTTCATAATAAAAAAAATATTGTATATTGAATTATATAGAACAATAATTTGTTTCTATTAACAGGATGTGTGTGCATTATTTTAAAATTGTTAACGTCCCAATTCCCATGCTAGTTGATTTTTACACCTTAAGTTCTACACATTCGTTTCTCTATGTATACCCATGCATGGTAAGACCGTATGACAAACATTATACTAAAATAAATCCAATAATGTAGACCGACACAAGATGCAGCGATATGGACCATATGGTTAGTACGCATGTTACATATACTTATGTTATTTTTCTGTATAATGAAAAATTCCTGGTTATTTTGTACATCATCAATGTATACTGTCTCAATTATAGACATATTCAATCTATGTTTCATCCATCAACGAAAACCCATTAGAAATAAATGATCTAGCTGTAATCTATAACCATCAATAGTTTTTTTTTTTTTTTTTTTGAAAGATACCATTATATTTATATATTAGCCAAACTGTTACAACATTGCCTTTTAGCACAGATAAGTTCAATGACGCCCACATTACAAGTAAAAACAGAGCCAGAGAGACCAACACATGGATTCAAATTAGAACAAGGCAGATTTGAGATCAATGCACTTGGAAGTTGCCGAACCATAGAGAGAGATAAGATTCCTGAAGGCGAGATGTCGAGCCGTTGGATGTAACTCTATCCAAAACAGCAAGACGACGACGGAGTTGTAATTGGATTTCTCTTTGGATCTGGTTTTCTGAACGGTTTGAAGAACCATGTAATCTTCCATTACGTTCTTTCCAGAGATTGTAAATTAGAGCATGGAAAACCAGCTTACAAATCACATTAAGCCTCCTATTTGTGGTAGGATTCTTAATCCAAATCACAATAGTTTTGATAACTTCCTTATTATATATGCATGCATATATACATATATCTCCCAATCTATAAATTTTTTTATAGGTTTTGTTTTTAAAACACCTATTTCTCTGATTTTCAGCAGAAAATATATATTCTTGGTATTTTTTTGGGTATCCGAAAAATTCACAAACTTTGACATATAAATACATTTCCTGGTGATGAGTTTCATAGATCCAGAGATTGTAATCGTACGTGAGTCTTCAAACGTAGCACCATTCTGGTTATGGATAATGGATCTATATATATTTTTTGATCATTCTCCTTCTTGTATATTGCTTCTCATCTATAAATATTTCGATAATGCTGGACCATATATTAGCAAAAATAAATGCCTTAAAAATGTTGCAACGGCTATAAATTGAACGTATCCAGAACGATGCGCATAAAAAGACCTACTGGCATTAATATGGCATCACATCTACAATGCATCCCACGTCAAGACACTTATAATAACCAAAACCAGTCATAATTTAATGCTTTGAACTATAGGATTTTATTACTAAATATATCAAATAACAAGATCTTAGCATAGTTACCATCAAACATCGATAGACCAGTCAGGAGTAAGATGTGAATAATGCAAAGGAAATGACATATTAAAAGAGATATATATATATATATATATATATATATATATATAGAACCAGAATAAGAGCTCACAATGCATAATATGTAGTGTACCTCTTGGAGACAATGTAACCATGAACGAAGAAAGTGGAAGACAGTAATTTGGTATGCGAAATAATTTATTGATAACCCGTACTGAAATATACATATATTATTAAACACATGTAGAAATTATTCAAAAACCCTAATCAAGTAGTGTGTCTCATTAGAAAACTCTCACACTCTATAGTAATGAGAAAAACATTTCACAAGACAAATATACTACTTCAAGCAAAAACCTCTGGAAAAAAATAATACCAAAGCCTGGTTGCAAAAACCACAAACTAAACATATCGATTCACGTTCTTAATTACTTACTCAATACATTCTATTAATCAGAAGAATAAACAAGATGAAATCCGATCAGAGCAGAATATTAGAATTTAGAAATAAATAAAAATATATGAAAAAGAAGCAATGCAAAAAAACACGCTTGTTAAGAACAAACAAACAAACGAAAGGACAAAAAAAGAAAATAAATCTCACAGAATATATATGTTTGTGTATGTTTGCCTAGGAATGATGACTGGTGCTTCCATCTTCTTGATGGTTGTGATGATGATCTCCGTCGCGGTTTTGTTGGTTGTTGTTATGGTTCGCCGTCTCAACCACCGGCCGGTAAGCAGCATTCAAAGCCGCTAAAACTCCATAATGGCTATGTTCTCCGCCGCCACCTCCTCCTCCTCCATAACCAGAAGCCAAAGGCTGTCCAGAAAACAAAGCAATAGGAGCTGCAAAATTCATCAAATGAACTCCACCGCCAGCTCCACTACCTCCACCACCACCACCGTTGGGGTTGTAAACATCTCCGGCCATAACACCGGAATGATGAGGATTGATATTAAACGCCCAAAGATTCTGTGTGTTGTCACCACTACTCCAAAACGGTGCCGTAGCAGGACTCTGACTCGTAGGTAAAGATCCAGCAGTTGATTGTACTAGATAGTTCCCCATTTGGTTGTGATCTAAAAGCTGTGAAGAAGAAGAAGACGAAGAATGTGACTCGTTCTTGGGACGAACCTGATGCTGATGTTGAAGATGATGAGTCATGGACTGATGTGGTGAATGAAAGTAATAGCTACTAGGAGTTGTACGAAGATGAGCAGCAGAGAGAGAAGATCTTGAGCTACGAAGTGAGATGTTTAAAGAAGTGAAGTTAGCCGGAATGGTTCCAGTCCCTGTAGCGGCTATAACCGCTGGCTCAGCTTGTTGGAGTAGCCACTCAATAGTTTCACCGTCGGATTTGTGACCAAGCTCACGTGTGAGCTGAAAGACACGTGCAGCGCACATGGCAGGCATACGGATCCGACGGCCTCGGCCTTCGACTTTGGTGTGTCGGTCCTTAGTAGAGGTTCGTTTAGGAGGAGGCTTCTTAGGTTCGGAGTTAGGTTCGGAAGTAGCAGAGATGATGGCTAAGGAAGTGGAAGAGGAGGAAGAAGAATCAAGAAGCTGGAGAGGGAAGTTGGGTCGATGATGATTCGGGTTATGATCCGGATCCGGATCCATGATGTTGATGATGATGATCGAAGCTTTGGTGGTGGGGAAGTGGGACTATACTACTGTCTCTGTTAGATCTTTATGTGAGCCATAGTTTTATCTCTCTATAAATCTCTGTTTTTTTGCTGCTACTTAGAGAGAGATAGAGAGGTTATATGGTCCTTAAGGACATGAAACTCCTTTCAGATGGGAAGCTTAGCTGTGTCTATGTCCGAGAGAGAGAGAGATTAAAGCAATGAATATGAAAGCATGGACTTTTTTTTTTCTCTTGCTGCTTTATATCTTTTGTTTTTATTTTTGGAATTTTATTTACATTATAAACTATTCCCTTCGAGAATTTTTCGTTATTTTTGGAAATAAAAGAGATGGGCTACGTGGTTCTCCAATCTGTACAAATATTCATTCAAATAAGATGTTTTTTTTTTACGTACAAAGTTAGTGAAAATAAATGGTGTTTCGTGTATTTATTGTGTTTGGGTTCATAGTTTTCTATAACAATACAGCCCTATACGAACACTCTTTTTCATTCTTTACAATAATTAAAAAGTGACGTCAGTTTTTCGTCGTAACTGTTAACTTCAAGCGATCGGGAAATTAATTGCACATTTAGCGAAAATTTCAGCGATTCAGACAGAACTCAGAAGTTTACATATATTTTGTACATATGTGACAACAGAATAATAAATAGATAGAATTATTATTGACAGTGATTAATCCATGGCTCTATGGTAGTTCACGAGATCCACATGATATAATAGAATCCAACTGCTTTTTTTATGAAACAGATATATTTTTTTATTTTATTTTTATGTCGTCTGTTTTTTCTTGAATGAGTTACCGGTTGGATATTATTATCAACGAATGAAAAATGTAAAGAAACCACAGTTATACCCAAAACAAAAACCATGTATAGTGCTTTATAGATAAAAGCAAATTTGTAATGCTTCTCTTTTGTTTCCACCATTGGTGTTATCTCATTGACATACAATTGTCGTTAAAAGATGTAGCACCAAATTTAGAAAATTATTTTGATACTCTGATGTGGACAGATCACATTTGATCTTTTTTTTTACGAAATTTAATAAGTAGTGATGAAGAAGTTTCCTTTCTTATGTGATGATTATTCATATATAAGCAGTTCAATATACCAGTCTTCCATGGGAGTTTTAGAGACAATTCATCCTTTAAATTATTTTTCAAAAACGAGTTACATAGATTATAGATTATTTGGTACGAGGACCAGCGTAATATATGTTTAAAATACATTTGAATTAAAAAAAATATAATTTTTTATATTGTAAAAGTAATTTCAAATTATTATGAAGATAAAATTTTTACAAAAAATATCAACTATGTGTTTTCTTGAAATTAAGTGTAACAGAAAAAATCTAAGTTATTACATAACCAACATAAGCATGTATATAATAACTATAGATTGCCATGTAATATATTTGAATATAAATATGACATTTGTTAAAATATGGAGAAAAGCCATAAGAAGTACTTACACATTAATTTTGAATTTAGGCAAATTCATCTTGCTTAGTATGTTGAAATTTTTTAAGTATGTTTTTTAGAATCTTGCTATTTCTTTTTGAATGTCTTAGCTTAATGATAAAATTTCAAAACAAAATGGTAAAACTCCTCAAAAAATCAAACTATAAATTTTATTGTAATTAAGTAATTATCATTTCTTAGTTTAGACGAATTTATAAACGTTACGAGTGACTTTTGATGAATCTTTTAGGAAACATTGATTAGTTTAACTTGGCGTAGCTATGAGAAAACATTTTCGTCCAAACATATTTGGAAATGACAATTTTATTTTATTTTACTTATATATGTGATATCTTCTTTATTCTTTTTTACAAAACTATGATCATTGACCAAAATTCTCTCTCGTAAAATATACATAAAAGTCTCGGCAAGTAGTAAACTACTAAATCTAAGAAAAGAAAAATCAAAGACCAAAGAGAAGGAAAAAAAACGAATTGATAGTTGAAAGGCGTTGTGCATATTTGACATTGCAGTACTACAATTCAGCAAAAATGATCAGAAGATATTATGAATAATAAAGTCAGTCGACTAATTAATCACTCATTAATTATTTATTTTCAGTCGTTTTCTCCACTGGCATATCTATTTATGTACATATGACTCCCTATTTTTCATCTTCAAACAAGAATCAATCACACTTGACCCCTAAAAAGGTTTTAGGACCACAAATTTTACGTACTACTCAATATTTTCACAACTATACTTCGATTCCAATATTTAAAAAATTTAACGACGATCTACATTAGGTTATTTTATATTGATCCAATCTTATAAGGCTATAATTCTATACGATTGTAAACAAAACAAAAATCATAAACTTCGTTCACGGTTATAGACAATTTCAATACATTCCAAATTAACATGTGGTGATATAATAAATGTTAAAAAGACAACAATAGTTTAGTACTAGTCTCGTCTTGTGGGTCAATTCTGGATGATCAAGGTTTTCTGTTATTATACATCAATCTATCTGTCTAAATATACTTTTAAGGTTGTAAAATACAAATTTATTATTAAAGAAAAAAAAACTAAGAAGAAGAAGAAAATTAAATGAGAGTAAATAAATAAAAGAGATGGACAGTGGGATGAAACAGACTCCACGTGCGTGTCCTCTGCATCATTCACTCTCTAAAGACAGTGACCATAGCCTCATCCCTCCCTTATGGACCCCTCATCTAGTCAAGTCAAATTATTTAATCTTTTCTCAATTTTTCATTTTTATTTCTTCTTTTGTTTTTCATCCGATTGAATCTAATTTACCATCAATCACGAACCCTATTTTCAAACATTACTGCGCGTAAACAAATATCATCTTAACTTAACTAGCTATGTCCTGCATTATTTTACAGAAACTTCATTAAAGAGTCTCCACAGTTGATGTATTCAATCTTGAAAAGAAAAAAAGTCGATCATATTCAATCAAACATACCGAAATAATTGATTTGAGAATTGAGTTATAGTCTAGTTTAAATGGATTTATTTTTAACTATTTTATGAAAAGAATGAATTTAAATTTGAAAAAGGAACATTTTATAAGCAAAGTTTTTCATAAATTATATTTGATTGAATCTTGAATCCGAACTGAAAGTAAAACCATACTGAATATAACATACTACTTTCTAGATTTAGAAATTTTTTGAACCATATCCAAGTCAAAATCGATACTTCATAGTATTGAATACACAAGTTTTACTTTGCAGTATTTTCCAACTCATAATATAAGAAAAAATACACATAATAAAATGTATACAAAGTGGAGAATGGAAATGGTAATCAAATAAAAAAGGAAAACAAATAATTAAAAGAAAAAAGTGGGCTCCCATCCACATTCACCAGCAATGATTGCCTCACTGCCTTTGCAGCTCCACTTCTGCTTCTTTCCTCTTTCTTTTTTCTTTATTTTATTTTCTCCACTTTACTTTAGATTTTCTTGATATTTGCCCCTGATTTTTTATTTACTCTGCATCACCCTCAAAATTTTTATATACGGTAATAATAATATGAATGCTATTCAACCCATACTCTCCTATTGCTTATATAGTTATATTATATCCCATTTTTATTATAAAAAATTATGCGTTATTTAAATATAGTTGTAAAGAAAATAGAATTAAAATTATGCGAATATATGCAAGCAATAGCCTTTTTGGAGTATATTTGCAAAAATAATATCCTGACGAAATCGTAAATAAGTGCTTGGTGATTTCATGTGTTTTCATACAAACTACTTAAAATTAAAATGTATTTAAACAATAGTGTATTATTTAATTTTAATCCATGACCCATTGTTTTGTATGATGTAATCTATCATTTGATAAAATATATGCGAAATCAATATCCATTCGTTTACGATTTTTTAACCACGTTATTTTTGTAAATAAACCTAAAAAAGGTTACAAGTATGTACCTAATCAGCCAAAAATATACACGCGCGTCGTGTGATTTTAGTGTATGAAGAAGCAATTTGTCCACAAAAACAAGCATAATTGGTCATTTACATCTATCAATAATAAAAAAATCATGTTCCTTAAGCTTATAGAAAACAGCCAATCCATCGAACTAAACAAAGTTTATTAATTTTCTACTTTGTTAATAAATAAATTGAATTTAGATTCTATATCATAACACTCGTGATCGATATAATCTCACCAAGAATTATCATTAGTGGATTAGTGATCGATACGCTATATGTTTTTTTTTTTTGGGGATTCCACGTCAGCTCAAAGTTTCGTTATGTGTCTCGTCTCGTTGGTATAGACAGCTTAACATGAACATAATTATAAATACACGTTTTACATTACGAGAACCAACAACTATTTAATTTTGAGTTGATGGTTAATTTTGGTTATGAAAATATTAGACGAAGACAAATAATTCACACATATATATGTAGAGAGAGAAAAAGAGAGCATTGAAAGCCATGTACTGTCCATGTTGGATAGATAGGTAATGAAAGGAATAACATTGGCATGTATAACCCATGTGACAATAGTCCCTATATACAACTTATAAGCAAACTCAGTTTGGTCGAGAAATATCTAAACAAAGTTAGTTCAATCGATTGAAAGCAAGTTCAAGTCAGAAGCCATAGTTAAAAAAATGGTGTTTTACCATTATGGATGCATCGTAGATATATAAAAAAAATAAAAAGAATAATTCCAAACGAAAGACTTATGGATCAAAGATCAAAACCAAGTGTTCGACAAAAAAAGACTTGATCAGTCCAACCTCCGTGTCAATCGACCAATCAAGTTTGGAAGAGGTTCTTCAGAGAATCTGATTGGTTAAGACTCTCCTATCTAGTTTTACCCGATAGACTTGAGCAGTCATTTTCCTTACCTTGATCGACCATTCAAGACTCTCTTAATCTCCATTTTCATACTTTTGATCTAGTTTATTCTAGATCTAATATGGTTTGGTTCCAAAGCAAATTTTATTGAAGAAAAGCTTAAGTTTGATTTGATTTACTTACGGTGCTATAAATAATTGCATAGAAGGAGACTAGGAGAGAGAGAGAGGGAGAGGAAGAAACAACATAAAAGTTGTCCTCTCATGAACTGTCACTACGGCTAGCGACATAATCACGTTGCATCCGGAACCCTAGCATTCATCATTCATTGTTTGTGTTTGGACCCTATCTAATCTATTTTTATACATTTTTTTCTTTTGATAGGATCTATCTATAATCTATATTTATACATAATTCATGTCTGCACCTCTACATATATCCTT